CAAGAATAGATCGGATGCACTGATTGGGCGGCAGCGAACGGGTAGTGGTAGTCCTTTTCTCCATAAAACACCACAATGGTGACGATGGAATCATGGTGTAGCGAATGTGGCCCGTCATAAATGAGGTCATATACCCTTGTTTCGTTTGACCTTACTAAGAAGGCTTTCTGGAGCAGTTGAATGAACCAAACTACTAGCCTCCAGAGTGCCTGAAACGACACTGCTAAAGTGCGGGTTTACCCCGAGTGTGCAAAGGCTAAAGATGCTAACTAGAATGAAAAGGCCGAACAATGCGGAAAACATCGCCTGTGATTTTACTTCCACAAATCCTTACAAACCATTCTGGTGAGTGACATCCTCTTGCAAGATTTTTTCGTATACAAATTAAACTTAAAGAAGTTTAAAAAATAAAATCAGATCTAAGCCACTATTTGGGTGTGAAGTGAGGTAACGGAAACTACTAGGGACGGCCACTCCAAGTGGTATATAACAACTATTTTTACCGTTATACTAAGCTTCGGAATCAGATACATATGAAGTGTTAATGTCTCCTAAAAACGGTAAAATGACTGTATGTTGGGTACTCTACTGTTAGCGAGGAGTTGAATTAATCCGATAATTTTTCAATTCCAAACAACCAAATCCCTTAGAATTACCAAAGAAAACACGAGTTAGCCAACCATTCGTAAGCACAAAGATCTTAGACCGGTGTTTTATAATGGATGCGAAAATAGCTACGAGCGCTCTTAACAATAGGACTTGTTGTTTTGTCTGTGCACAAGACCAAAAGATGCATTCCATACGATTCACACTTTTATTTCGATCTAGATGAATTTTATTGGAAAATACTGAAAAACAGATAAATTAGCTTACCCGGATAGTGACATCTTCTGGTGCATTACAAATTACCACCTGCAATCGCGGTAACGTTTCCTCATCTTTGTATCGCTCTACGACTGCCCGCATTGCATTTTTGGACAGTTCAAAGAGCATGTGGAATAAGTGGCCGGGGACGTAACAAAATGTGATGTTCCTCCCTCGAACTGCCAAGTTGGAACAATCGGGCTTCTGGGCAAATAATTCGTGGGCTCCATCGGGATTACCATCAGCATCAACAGTCACATCCAATTCAGGACTATTATCATCCCCAGGGACTCGATCAAGAACTTGGATGTCACATCCGGGGGCTCGACCGTAAACGCGAGTGCACAACATACGAGCGAATCCATACGCACTTATTGCCTGTTCCAATGGACTGCATTGTGGATCGATACAACCAACGTAGGTCTCGTTCTCACGCAACATTGGTCCATAGACCAAAGCTATCGGTTACAACGGAACAGAGAGCAATGAGTAAAGGACTAATTGGTAGTATTGATATTTTTATTATCTAATGAGACAGTCGATCAAAATAATTATTTAAGGAAAGTCTCGCTAAAGTCTAAGAGCATCCCTCTTCAGGGCAGATCTTTCTAATCAGCTCCAGTATGACCAAGTGTTTCACTCTCCCGAATAACAAAAAACATGATCTTAAAATATTCTTAATGACTGTGAACAGACAGGTATGACGACTGACAATGAAATTAGGAAAGCAACAAAGATTGATGACAAACAAAGTTGTCACCGTGTTGTCTCTGTTACCTTTCATTTTCCCGCGTCTAACTGTTTCACCCTCTTTCCAATCTGTTCTGTACCCCAACCCACCTATTCCCTATCGTTGTTATTGTTATTATTGTTGTAGCGTTGGCACTATGCTTGGCTACAAGCCGTTGTTAAATATATCACCGTGAACCCGAACAAAAGGAAAATTCAACAGTGAAGAATACTACAAGTATCCTCTAGCGCACCAAAAGTTGTTCCACCAACCAAGAGGGACTGGTGAACTCTCCACTACAGAAGTGTTGACTTTTTAACACGTAAAAGAACACTGTAGATGATCATAAAGACAAAGAAGAAGTAATTACGGCCTGTTGCTTAGCTTTGTTTTATTCGTTCAGATAAGTTGATGCATAGCTTTGTATTGTGTAGTCCTAATGTGCAACCCAGGTGGTATTAGCCACATCCTCAAGTCAAGTCAAGTCAATAAATCGCTTTATACACCTCGAATGGTGGATATTCAGCAAGCACATAACCGCAGGATGTAAACAATTATAACAAAAGTGAAATGTAATACAGCACTTGAAAGAATTGAAACGCATGACAACATCAAAATTTAGTGGCATAACAGGGTGCATATGATTAGTTTAGTTTAGCATTTTGCGCAAATTTTCTGCAACTAGTTCATGGTTTGTAAGAAACCTGGCGAAATACGGTACAATAGAGCGCCTGTGAGCTTCAGTGCGTCTTCATAGGTTCATGACTGGAACGGGTGGATAAGTAAGAAAGGCACTGGCTAATATAGAAATAAAGGGGGTGGGAAATATCTGATAAGATTTCACTAGAGAATATTTTACAGGACTTGAGGGGGTGTTACCACATGCTATACCAGATGTTTTCGTGATATAAGACTGCATACCGAAAGAAACTTGAGGGATCGTGTAGAAAAATGCAATGAAGCGCACTTCGGAGATTGCTATCAAACCCGCAATGCATACAAAGTTAGTGGAAATATGTAATATGGACAAAGGCTGGGTCTATTTTGTGGGAGGGGAAAGCAGTTGCAGTTGCAGTCTTTTGGACGCTAACCTGAAAGAGGGGAGATACCTAATTCACCTAATCGCACGATCATCATATTTCTGTGCTGCAAATTGCTAACGACTCGGTAATTAAAACATAATCACAGCGATCTAAAACCATCCAGACAGAATGAATACTAAAAAAAACTTATTAGTGGAAAACGGCCATATGGTCAGTGGGGGAACCACAAGCTTACTACTTCAGTTTTCTGTGCAGGGTACAAGCTACACATTGTCGTCAGTATGCCAGTGGAGTTCATCCGACCTGGCATATGAAATTCTACGAGAATTGGTAATAACAAAAGACGCCATCTTGCTTTACTGGGATCTGTTTGCACATCTTTACTGGATACATTTCCTCTAATGCCCCTTTGCATTCGTGATCCTGTTTTGATTCTCATCTTACAGCTGAAGTCGGCATAAACACACATAAGATCGACCGATGAACACGAGAAGAGAGATTAGTAAAACCTAAAAAATAAGTCAGGAAGGAGGTGGTATTAAGCATGAACACCACTGTTCATGACAGAAACACATCACTTTATGTCTTCAATGACATTTTTAGCTCAACTAAGTCCACCAATCGAGGATTTTATTGCTTCGCGTCCAGTCACACTCTGACCGCTCTTGACAGTTCACACCAGGATCTTCCAGGATAAACACCACATGCCGGGGAAGCCTACTCACTGCCCGGAAAGCACATTTTCCAGTCACTGCAATCGATGAAACATAACAACATGATTACCCAGTATGTGTTATTTAACCTCAATTTCGCTATTCGATTGGCCCCTATCAGACTCATGTTATTCCGCGTAGACAACGGTGATAATATGCTCAGTGTTGATAAATAACGGGTACGTCTTTGTAAAGCGTGGTAAAACTAACTGGCTGCCGCAGTATACACTTAATCCTCCACAGGACTTTACGACGACCAGAATGCTTTCATTTGAAAAACATTTAAAAAATCTTTCTGTAGGCGTGGCGAAAATTCACCTAGACTTGCTTGCCCGAAGTGATTTGGTTGTTTAATCAGCGATTCTTCCATCGTTCACTCTATTTTCTCGACGTATTTTTTATTGCATTTGTCACGGGAATGGTGAAGATAACTAAGCCAAAAAGCAAACCAAATGGAAAAACTGACAAAATAATCCGGACTTATAACCTGAAAAAAATGTGAGGATAGCCCTACAGGAACAATGTTTTCTTGGTGAAGTGAAAGAGCCAACGGGAGAAAGCTTGAAGGCGATTTCATCTATCAGCGTACTGTTTGTGACAAATAAACTTCGACAACAAGCCTTGTAAGTACCCAGTGGTATATAGGTCGAATGACCACCAACTTCCACTGTGCTTTCCTTTTTATGACCGGATAGTAAGACTATAATGCAACAAGACTTCCGTCGCCTAATGGGTTTCCACAATCGATGCTTACGTAGTCTGGCCCAAGTGAGATGGAGTGAGCGTGTTAGTAACCTAGAATTAATTCATCAGATGTTTCGGAATGCATCGAACAAGAACTCGCTATCTAATCTAATCCAGCTCAATAAGCTTCGTTTGTTAGGACACGTTTTGCGTACGCACGACGGTTGCTTACCGCGGCGTGCCTTGTTCGCAGTGGCTGTTGCAGACTGGATAAAGCCATGTGGAGGCCAGTAGATGAGGTGGAGAAGAGGCATGAAGAAATGCACAGGGTGATTAGATAAATTAGGTATCTCTCGTCTTCCGGGTTCGGGTCCAAAAGATTTCGTAACTGCGCGGTTGGAGACACTGATGGTCATGGCTGCAAACCGACGGAAATGGCGATCATGCTGTCACTTATCAGACCAGAATGCTTGAAATAGTATGTATGCACAATTGGACTGTGTACTAGATGTGTTGATCATAGAGGTTTACTTTCTTTCCCCGTTCCCATAAGTAAGTCTAATCTCTATCCCGCTTAAACATTCTCATTTACCTTGTATGCAATATGGGTTTGACAGCGATCAGTTAAGTTCGCTTCTCTGTATTACGTTGTACAATGATGATGATAATAATAATAATAATAATAATAATAATGATAATGACGACGACGGCGATGATGACAATGATGATGATGATGATGAATAAGTAGTAAATGAATGACCGGAATAAATTCCAGGAGCAGTCGGCCGGTTTCTCGATCCTTGACACTCATCAGCTGTGTGTACGGTACTCCTCTATTTGGTAATCCCTATGCGTGTACTTCGGATGGGAGTTAAGCAAAAAAAAGCTCATTTGCATCCAGAAGTTATTTTGAGAACAATTATTAAAATGATTTTGTTATGTGTGGTTTCGATGACTGATTCTTCGATGGTGACTTATCTAGCAACAACTCACTGAGATGCAAATGTTCAGTTCAATTTCAAAGCTTGTGACTGTCTGACATTTTTGGTAAAACGCTGACTGACATCCGATGGTTGACGTAAACACGAGGCATCTGGGATTATTCAGGATTGAGAGAACGAACTACAGATTGGAAAGAGGGTTTTCCATATGGGTGCCTAAGACTTGAGGACACGACATGTTTCACGGTAGCCCATGCCAACGAAAAGGTTCTTCTTTGGGAACCCTGACAGGAGCCTTCAACTCAAAAGTCTGAGTCACAATGCAGTGGGGTGTAGATCCAACGCGGAAGCGTGACCCAAGCATCCGTGCGGAAACTTCTAGGGACCTGTCGCGCAAGACCTGCGGGTTCCGGTTCAGCTTATTGTTCACTGGTGCGTTGATCGACGGTCAGCGTTTCGGGATTCACCTTTTGTGTTATGCACCCAGTCGGACAAGCGAAAGGTAAACGAGACAGCCCCTTATTGGCTGAATCTGCCGAACTTGGGCGGCCGGTAGCTGTCCAATGAAGTGAAAGTCATCCTTAACCATCGAGAAGAAGCCACGAGTACGCCGCTCCTACATCCATCTAGCGAGGTTTTTGACAGGTAAACTGCGCCCCACCATGTTCAATTGCCGGAGTGACCTTTCCAGGGGCGTGTTGATGGACTAAGAAAGCCAGGGGGTACCCAAGCATCTTGCCTTGTGAGGTTTGTAACAAAAACTATCTACCGGTTCCGCCATTTTTCTGTTTTGTCATGATAAAAAGAACTGCACCCCTAATGAAAAGACAGCGCAACGGTTAAAGCACCTTTGAATGACATTTAATTTTCCTTTGACAGCTTATTTTGGAAATGAAGAAACATTAGAATATGAAAAGCTGAAGAACCACTAACAAACATCAATCTGCTCACCAACACCCCACTATGGTCAGCTAAGGGTGATTTCGTATATACATTACACTGTCCTGGACTCCTGGATATGAACCCTAGTCACCTGCATTCACAGCCCATGCTAAGGACCTTACTTTCTTGGTTTGGCGGGTGTCTTTTTAAACAGAGAGGATGAAAATTCTATGGCTAAGGCTACAATCAGGTTGAAGGGTTACTGACCGACAGCTCGTTTGATAGCGTTTGGAGGTTGCATGCTCTGATTGACGAGATGTCCTTCAATGGATTACGAAATCGAAGAATCGGAATAAGCCGTCCAAAGCCAACCTACTACTTCGATGTGAGACTGAGATATAGGACTGAATGCGCCAGACAACAGAAACCAATGACTCATCTTCATTTTCATGTATGGAAGGCAGAGGGGCCGCGCCCCGTACGAGCCTCCTCACCGCTGGTACCGATAGCAACCCGCTCACCTGTTTGCAAGTTGCCACCGTCTCACCAAAAGCAAGTCGAGACGTCGTTTGAATCGCGTCTCGTTCTGCTCCTTCACCACCTCCGACGGAAGTGAATTCCGGAGAGTAATCGCTTTTCGGGAAAGGCGATAAACCAAAGGAAGCCCCGCCGACTCCAGCTTCCCGAGAGTGAACCTGAGGCCGCGTGTCCGATTGTAGTCTCGTAGTGGAAACACAGCACGTAGTCCTAGTCCCAGGTCATCACGAAGAATCTTCCACAAATGGATCAAATCCCCGCGGAGTCACCTGTAGCTAACCGGTAAGATTGGATCCGACCTTTATAGCTAATCCCACGAAGTCCCGCGACTAGTCCAGTGGCGTAGTGCTGTACCCGTTTCAAGTTGGCCACTTCGGAAAGGGTGCATGGGTATACAGCGGGTCCACCATGTTCAAGCCGGGGCGAACACGGCAAGCGAACAGCTTATTGAAGGCCATGAACGACAGGCCGTCAAACGACCGACGGATTGCACCTAGCATGCTCCTTGCCGCAGAATATGCTCGCACGTTGTTCATCTGGGTCTTCATGGATAAAGAGATGATGACTCCTAGATCCCGCTCGGTCGCCGTCGGACGTAGCGAGACTGTTCATCTGAGAAAGGAAGGTCCGGTGTCTCCCGTCCCAGGGGGATACGTGCGTATTTCGGTGTTTACTGGAAGTTTCCAGACATCTGCACAGTGGAGTAACCTATTCAAATTCTCTTGGAGGGCATCATGGTCCTCCGCTGTTCTCATGACTCTCCACAGTTTCATATCATCCGCATAGAGGCAAGGCGAGTTTAACCGGGAGGGCAAGTCATTCACGAAGAGAAGAATCAGTACTGGACCTAGGACAGAACCCTGTGGCACCCCACCGGTGACTGAAAACCGACGGGACTCATTCTGGGCAACTCTCACGGTAAACGTCCGCCGGAAGAGGAAGTCCTGGATCCAGAGTAGCAGTGGGCCACCGACACCGTGAGCCTTCAGCTTCTCCAGCAACCCTCCAAGCGACACCTAATCGAAAGCCTTGCTGAAGTCAATGGAGATGACGTCCGTCTCGTGGACAGTGACCTCGGCAGACGCCCGTCGCTCCCGAGAAATTCTTTCCCCATGGGTTCGCAACACCCTTCTCCTTCGCTGAATTTTCGACTGCTCAGTTGTTTCAGACTGGTGATTTATTATTAATATTAATATTATTATTATGGTATACTCTATTGTGTATAAAGAAAATTCAATTGTATAGCACACCTAGGGAGATAAAACCAGAATCACATTGTGATCTAAAATACCAAGGGCGACTGACCATGAGATAAAGGCAACCACAATGACTGAACAATTAAAAACCGGTACTACTAAGAACGGTTTTAATCCACGAACGGGCTTATGTCATCAAATCTGGGCACAGGAACACAAAGATAACATAAGAATATTTCCAGCCTGATGTGAAAACGAAGAGAATCGATAGTCGGTCGAGGGAATGGGGGGGAGTAGAAATACAAAGCAATTGGTTTGCTTTGAATGACTTACTATGCTGTGTGATAAGCATTCGGATACCGATGCGACTAATGTAAAAGCGGTCAAGGAAATACTGCATTCGTCTTTCTTCATCCCAAGAATCTGGATAATTCTCTTTCATTTCCTTTATGCCCATAGCCATGAACATAACAACATTTGAGTGTTTGTCTACTATTTCATGAAGATCGTCAGTGAACTCCGAAATTATTGACGGACGTTTGGAATCGCAATTTTCGTATTTCAGAAGAGTTACAAATGTATCTTCGTACCTAAAATGTTGAAGGCAAATGCAAGAGTGAACTTACATCTTAACGATATCACGTACGGGTTGTGTAGATAAAAGGGTATCTGGTAACAGTCGTATCTCTTGCAATATGTGAGCGATTCTAACAGGCAATTCATTTTTCAGAAACTCGAAAGACTTGGAAGCTGGAGCGGTTCGTCCTGAAAATTGTAGAAAGGCTATTAACATCGGCATTCAGTGTGCATACCAAATTCGGTGAGGCTTTTAAGATTTAACGGTATGGGACGGTAGCTGCTGTATAAATCGAATTTCAACCCGGCCTTTCCGACCAAATCAAAGAGCCGATTGATCTTCATTGTTCAGTTTCACAAAAACCATAGGAAACTACAGCAAATTTGCAATAAAATGGCAAAAACCGACGAATTTTGGCGACAGACTGAGACCAAAACTCGGTGAAAAGTTCGAAAGTATTGTCTTCACTTCACGCTTTTGTCACCCGGTTTGCAGCTAGAAACAGATCGCAACTTCAAACAGACGCCATCAATTATATTTCTAGGTCACTCAAGGTCAGTCAGTCAGTCAGTTTGCACAGGAAAGGAGATGGCTACGACCAATCGAGCGTCCAGATTTCCTCCGGTAGTAAGCCCCGTTCCGGCCCCTACCGCTGCGAGTGTTCTATATTGCAGTTCTACACGTTTTCTTCACGTCTCAGTTGTCTCCGTCTTAGCAAAGTAAGAGGGTAAAGAAAAAGTATCTTCTCCCCTTGTTCAGGTGAGAGACCTCAGGTTTGGAAGCGTTCGGTTTTTTTCAGTTTTTTTCAGTTCAGTTCAGTTGCACAGGACAAATATGGCTCTAGCCAATCGAGCGTCCAGTTCGTTGTGTTGTCGGCGGATGGGAGTAGCTTCCAACACTGCGTACAGTTGATTGGGTATTTGTGGTCCTCACACTTCAACCCCGTGACCAGAATGTTGTCTCCTTGGACGTAGGCTGAAAGGGAGGAAAACAAGCAAGGATATCTCCTCGCCTCCTTGGTTAGAGACCTCAAGTACACTTGCGCTAATATACAGCTTACG